ACAAGACAAGACCACGTGGTCCCGTGGCTGGGAAACTCTCCCCTCGAACCAAGATTGTTTAAAGCAAAGTCAGTTTTCATCGCCTGGATCTGGTACCTCGCTTAGCTCTTTTGGGACTAATCACACCTGCGAGTAAACTTTGTTTCAGGGGTTAGCCCGAGTCCCGGTAACATTTTTAGCCTGGCATGTTTGAGATAGTGACCTTGGGGGAAAATAACATTCCTCCCCTTTGCCATCCCTCTGCCCAAGAGAGGAACGAGAAGAACAAGGGAGTCCAGTGGGCAGCTACCGCTGCCCTCCGTTGGGGCCGGAAGGGCTCCCTGAGAAGCTGCCAAACCCCACAAGCGTGGTGGCACTTAGAACTTGAGGATCAGGCTTCCTGACAGCTCAGAGCGGGCTGCCCGTCTCCTGCGAGGTCGCTGAGGGGAGCTGCCAGGCGTGCCAAGACTTAGCCTCTGGAACTCTGGCTGTCCTCACGTATTGAACTTGAAAGTCTGACAGAAAACTAAGTTCTTGGCACTTGGCAAACGGGTGGTGGTGCCACTGGGGCAGGAAGGAGCCTGCTTGAGTTCCAGCCAGACCACTAACCAGCCCTCTGTGTGACTTTGGGCAAGTCACAGAACGCTTAGAGCCCCTGTTTTCTCATCCATTAGATGGGAATCCTTTTTTTTTTTTTTTTTAAGATTTTATTTATTTATTTGACAGACAGAGAGAGAACACGAGCAGGGGGAGTGGCAGAAGGAGAGGGAGAAGCAGGCTCCCCGTTGAGCAAGGAGCCTGATGACACGGGACTCGATCCCAGGACCCTGGGACCGTGACCTGAGCTGAAGGCAGACGCTTCACCGACTGAGCCACCCAGGCGCCCCTAGATGGGAATCTTAATACCAGTCTCACAATACTGTTGGGAGGACTTCACGGTGTATAAAAGGCACTTGGAAAAATACCACGTTATACAAGTGGGTCAGGTGCTAACGTGTATGACACACAGAGACCGTCAGAGTCCCCAACCGCCCCCATTTGGGTTCACGTGTCTAGACATGAAAGCCTGAAAGGGCAACAGGCGTCAAGGCCATGGGTAAATGGTATTTCATTTACAGCACTAAACCACTTAATTGAGAAGTCAAGAAGTGGCAGGTAGGCATGTGGCTTAGAAATAGGATGGTAAATACCAAAAGAAAGAGCAGAAAGAATTGAAGTAGGCACCTTGGGAATCAGGATTCTGGACTAGGGAGAAGGCATGGGCACCACTCAATGTTGATGTAAAATTTGCAATACTATTTGGAACACGTGCATGTCAGCTTAATAATAAAAAAATAAATAAAGGGAGAAACATGAAAACTAAATGAGACATCTTATCGAAAATTCTATGAAAATTTGAAAACGCAATGCAACATTTAGTCCACAGATATTTACTGAGTGGTGATTAGATGCCAGGCATTTAGAACTATCTGTTAAGGATTAAAGATGAGAGAGCAATGGTCACTGATCTTAAGAAGCCCCAGATCTAAGAGGGGAGCAGACATGAACATAAATAGCTGCTATAAAGAGTTAGCGGTCCGATGCTATTAGTCAAATGTGTGGGAGAGAGTGTAGATACAACCTAGGGACAGGGTTCTGCTGGGGGGGACGGGCACTTCACTATGGAGGTGGTACCTAAATGGGTCTTTTGTTCCCGAATCTTTCTTCAGAAACGAACTTTGCTGAATTACTCTTCCTTTTATAAAAGCAATGTGTGCTCATTACCGAAAAAGCAGAAAAGGAATTTAAGCAGAAAAGGTTATCAGCCTGTGATTGTAACCCCTCAAAGAATCTGCTGGTGGCACCTTAGGGCGTGCACATCCAGATCCCCCTTCCTATGCCTATTAGACTTACAAATGTAGTCGTGTACTATGTTGGAATGTTATTTAATTGTTTTTGTCCTTATATTTTCTCCCTTTCCCACCGGTGCCCACTTCTCACCCACCAGCAGCTGTTAGGAGTCCCATGTTCATTGCCTCCATGGACACATGTGGCCAATAAGAGCTGGAAAGTAAAGGACGTCCTACAGGACCTCTGGCTTCCCTCCATACCTAAGCCCTAAAGCGGGGAGAAGATTTGGTGGAATAGATAAATGTCTCGGAGAAGGATTTCTGTTTCCTCCCTAGAAAGGTTCCTTTGGGTGAGGAGGAGGGAGAGGACAAGGGAGAGAAGAGAGGGATCTGTGGGTCCCAAGGTTGGAGGGTTCCTGCACCCTACTTCCTTGTAGTGTTCCTAGGGTCTAATAAGACCCCGAGAGGAAATGACAGCATGCTGATCCCAGGAAGACAGTGTCCGAAAATTCTCACACCTAAGCAGGTGGACATGAAAGAGCCAAGAGGCAGAGGCGATGGATGTCTCAAGGGCAACACGATGGCTAAGAATCAGCTGCCCCCACCCAGGCCCTGGCACCGCATCAGGTATCCAGGAGCCCTTGATGCCATCCTGGGAAGGGGGACAGAGGACCAAGAACGGCTGAGATTAGGTTTCCCTGAAGCTCGGTGAATGGGGGTCCAGGATTGGAAATCGGGAAGTTCTAGAAAATGAAGTTATGTTTCTTAGACCAAAAGAAAAGAAAAGAAAAGAAAAAGAAAATCCATAGCCCTGATTTTACAGCTCACTCTTACCCATCAGCTCTAGAGCCAACACAAGGCATAGAGTCTTCAAAGGCAAATTCATTCCAGACCAGGAAACCTAAGCAGGTAGAGACATGGTCTCAGTTGTATCTACATATTCGGGAGCACCCTGGAGACTGGGACCAAATTAAGAAGATATGAGAGGTAGTCCAATACCTTCGGTTTGAAATCATACAATCCTATCCTATTTGTTGCCAAATCCAGCCGGTCTGACTTATTCTCAGTCCTTTCTCCCTAACGTCCTTCCGCCAGAGCCTCCCCGCCCAGGGCTCCTACCCTAAACCATTGCAGGAGCCTCCAACCCAGCCCCCCTGAGACCACCTTCCCCCCCACTGCCTACCCTATAATCTGGTAGCAGAGGAGTTTGCACAACGCACAAATGTCATCAAGTTCCTCCTTTATGGCTAAAGTTTTCCGTAGCCGTAGAATAAAATTTAAACTGTTGGTACATTACTGATGGCCACACATTTACTCTTTCATCAACAATCATTTAAAAAACACCGAATTAGGCCTGTCCTGTGTCCAGGACCTGTTCAAATTACTGAGGAAAGAGACAAATAAGACCATCCCTACGCCCAGGAAATTCATTGTCTGGCAGGAAACAAACACACTTTGGGTTCCTGACAACTGGTTCTGATGGGTGTGATAGAGGAAGCCGGGCTGGGGGTGGGGGGTGAGGGAGTGGCGAGGTCTGGGGGAGTGACGCCAGCCCGGGGCTGTGACTGGGAACGTGGACTCTGGAGCTAGCTGGCTTGGGTCTGAACTTAAGTGACCAGGGTGACCTTGGATAATTTGCCTAACCTCTCTTATCTGCAAAAGAGGGTGTTGTTAATAATAGTATTTACCCCAAAGCCTTGATATGTGGTCGCTAATCAGGGGTTTTGGAGACCAGTGCCTGGCATGCCAAGCCCCCAGTCAGCATGAGTTACGTTAGTCATCAGCCTCCCCGCGTCCACACCATTGCTCCGGCTGCTTTCTTATTGTGCAATGTTCCTGCGTGCTGGAATGTCACACTGCCTTCAGGAGCTCTACAAACACCACCGTCTCCAGGATGTTCTCACCTTGCCCCCCAGGGTTGAAATGACTCTTTCCAATTTGCTCCCATAGCACTTGACACATGTGACTTAACTGCGGTGATTTATCACGACTACTAATATCACGCACCCTCTCTGGTCTATGTCATTCTGCTCCATTAGACTTTGAGTCTCTTGAGAGTCAACACGTCCGAGGGAGTGGAGAAGCAAAACATCAGGGTTTGAATCCTGGCCCTGTGACTTCCTAGTGGGGTGACCTTGGGCGGTTCACGTCAGCTCTCTGTGTCTCCGTATATTCATAACCATCAGAATTAGTTAATGTACATAAGGCACTTAGAATAGAAGTGTTGCCTACAATTACGTAATAATTATATGTATACCAAAGAATCAAGTGTGGTCACCCCTTAAGAGTGGGTAGACATGGGGATGTGATGGAGAGACCTTCACTTCTTGCTTGGATTTTTCTAAACATTATGAGAGCATGTATTATTTTCAAAAAAATTTAGGAACAGTGAAATAGGGACACCTGGGTGGCTCAGGCAGTTAAGCCTCTGCCTTCGGCTCAGGTCTTTATCCCAGGGTCCTGGGATCGAGTCCCACATCGGTCTCCCTGCTCAGCGAGGATCTAGCTTCTCCCTCTGCCTGCTCTGTCTGTGGCTCTCTCTGCTTATGTTCTTTCTCTCTCACAAATAAATAAATTAATTAAAAAAAAAAAGAACAGTGAAATAAAGTCATTCCAAAAAAACTTGAGTCTGGAAAGAAAAGGGTCTTCCTCTGCTGGAGATGTGTTGATTTTATAAGAAAACTGGTCTATAAGGTCCTTTTGAAGGATGAACTTAGAGCCCAGATTTAAGCTAAGTGAGAGGTCTCCCATTTTCTGACCAACTCCTCAGGGAGAGTGTGATTTGGAAGTGAATGGCATCCACGGGATAAATCTTTTGCTTTAGGACGCGGTGAATGGCACGTGAAAACTATCCCCAAAGTCGCCATTATTACTCACAGTCCCGGAGGGGAAGTTGTCTCCTGTCTGGGCCTTCCGGAGACCCAGACCCATAGTTTGCCAGGCCCTGCCTGCGTTTCCCCTGGACATGCCGCCAGGCATCCGGACACCTTGGTTTTCCCACTCCTGCCCCCTGTGTGTCCCCTAGGTGCCCCCTTGGATCTTCCTTGCCAGTGGTTGTTGACAACATTCCTGATTCCTGACACCTCGTGTGGACATGGTAGTGTCTCAGAGCTCCCTGGGCTTCCTTGGGCTAGAGTCTTTTAACGTGCCTCCAATAAATTATGAGGAATTCGGAAAGGGTCAGAACCTTACCTGGAAGCTTTTGTATTGGGCTCCTTCATAAAGGAGGGCAGCATGAAGATGAAGAAGACCAACACGGCCAAAACCAAGAGCCATTTGGTGGCATGGTCCAGACGACTGAGTCGAGGCAGCCAGGTCCTCATGGTGGTGGGTCAGGCGCTGCAAGAAGGTTCTGCATATCCTGGAGCTTCGCTTCGATGTAGACCGCCGATAGTTTGAGCGCTGAGGTCTCCTGGCCAGGGAGTGCACACCTCTTATCTTAACAATGAGCCACTCAGTCTATCAGGAGCTGCCACCCCTGCTTTGTGAAGGCTTATAGGCTGGTGTGGCTTGAAGGAAGAGAAACTCCTTTTGTTCAAACAAGTTTACTTTCCTTTTCATTGTCTCAGAAGCCAATTTCTGCATGTAGAGCTTTATGAGAAACACACATGTGTTATAGGGAACCTCACTTTTATCAGGTTCCAAACCCTTGGGGACCCTGGGCAGCTGCACGGACTGGAAGATTCTTGCGTGGCCTCCATGCGCAACATGATCTTTACGAGAAAAGTACAGGGAATCTGTTTAGCTTGGAGATCCCTCTAGCAATCTTCCCTCAAAGAACATTGTGCCGCCAGAGACTAGAGCTATGAGGACAATCTCATTTCCAAAGTGTTCCAGAGTCATACACAGCTCTCAATCTTGGGTGCACATCTGAATCACTTGGGAAGCTGTACTACACCCCAGTGCCCAGACTGCACTGAAAATAACGAAGCCAGAATCTCTGGGGCTGGCTATTTTTCCAGCAGGGGTATTTTTTTTGAGTTCCCCAGGTGATTCCAATGTGCGGACAAGCGGAGGAGTGATTTACAGTCATCTGGCTCAACCTTGCCTGCTTTTCTTCTGCAGTCATGGCCTTGACAGCCCTGAGCAGCATGCTTGCAGACGAGAGTGCTGAGCCAGGCCCCCGGGGGCCATCCATGTGCAGTAATGCTCTTGCAGCTACTCGAGGCGCTGGGCATTGTTGTCAACCCCATTTTACCGTTGGGGAAACTGCCTTTGTGAGCAAGCACCTTGCCCTAGATCCGAATGAGCCATCAGCTTGGAGACCCATCCAAGTGACCTAGAGATTGCATAGTAGCACCTCTGAGAAATCATTAACTCTGCTTTAATATGAAGAATAAAAGGCATGATGCTTAGAGGAAATGTGCAACTCAGAGGAATAATGCCGAGTTTGGTTGTAGAAAACAGAAAATTCAGAGAAGCAGCCCCCCCATAAAGAACTGCGGGTTATTAATTTTTTAAATATTGCTCACAGGATATTAAACCACACAGGTGTTTCCCAGCAGTTGAAATGGGGAAGATGCAGCTTGGAATAATAAGCCCTGTAGGTCACGGGATCTGGATTCATTGTTCACACATGACAGGGTATATTCAGAGGAATGCACAGCTTCCCATTCTGTACCCAACGTCCTTGGCCTTCACCCAGGACACGCACCAGTAAATGCTTAAACTGCCTTCCCCAGGCAGGATGAAAAAGGTAAGACATGCTTCTGAGTGGCTGGGAGTAATATAGACACACGATGGGCTTCCTTTGCTCCATACCATGCACTGGAACTCGGGGCACTATTACAGGGGATGGGCTGGGAGCAAGGAGAAAAGTTCCTCTCAGTACTTTTTGAATCTCTCTCTCTCTCTGAACACACCTAACCTGTAAGTGCCTATAAACATTTTCTGAATAGACCAGGGTCAAATCATAACCCTGCCTTAACTGACCCTTAACTGACCCGAATTCCCCTGTGCACTTGCCATGAACAATTACCCTACACCCTGGTGGCTGTTTGCAATGCCAGGCAAATGAAGTGCACAGGGGGAAGGCATTTTCTTACCCTCAGCCCTGGTTCGACGGTAAGGAGCGTCTCTTTCATCTCACCCCCTGCTCTGGAGAAGGCTCTCGGGGTCAGTGTTCTCTCTGACTTCCAGAGTGTGGAGATCTAGGTGGGCTCCTGGGTGCAAGCTGAGCTACGGAACAGTCTGTGCGGCTCACCACCTCAGGGGTGGGTTGAACTTGGAGCTATGGAAAGCCTGCAGAGGGGGCGGGGGCTGGGCACGGAGAGGGGGCCCGATAATCCAGAATTCTAGCTTCCTGGTCCTCAGGGGCCCCCAGTGCTGCTGCAATGTGTGCTTATGTGCCACGTGAGATCCAGAGAAACATGGGTTCTAGTGGAAACAGGCTCTCCAAATGGGTATCCAACCTTCACCACTGTTCCACGTTCGGTAAGGTCGACTTTCCTCTCCCTTTTAAAGCTTTTGACTTTAGTCTTTATATACCTGCCAACAGGATGCATGAGACCTTACATGCAGATAAGATTGTTAAAAAGATTATTTTCAGGGTGCCTGGGTGGCTCAGTTGGTGAGGCGTCTGCCTTTGGCTCAGGTCATGATCCCAGGGTCCTGGGATCGAGTCCCGAGTCAGGCTCCCTGCTCCTCGGGGAGTCTGCTTCTCCCTCTCCCTCTGCTTGCCGCTCCCCCTGCTTGTGTGCTCTCTCTCTGTCAAATAAATAAATAAAATCTTTAAAAAAATAAAAGATCATTTTCGGTAAAAGGTAAGATCGCGACTCTCATATGGATAGGAAACCTGAAAATATGTTAAGGATTTTTTACTACTCATGAGAGAACTGGGCAGATGTAATAATTTATTCAAAAGAGAAGGTGCAGAGGCACAAATTAATATAGAGTAAGGATTGCTAACCATGAATTGCAAGCGGGGGCAAAACTGGTTTTTCCACAGGGAGGACAGACAGGACAGAACCTGCATGGCTATCAACTCCCTACAATTTACAGAATTGTAAAATAGTTCAAAGACCATGCTGGGCTAGAATCAGCTCCGCTGGAGGGATGTCTCCTAGACGATGCATCCTTCTCCACAGACATACAGCTGTGTTTCTAGAGTGAGTGTACCTTGGAACCACTCCAGGACTGGAGTTGTTGAAAACGTCCCCTCCACTGGAAGAGACTTTTGGTGACTTAGGGGAATGCTGGATTAAATGGAAAGAGGTCAGTTTGTTAGGGACGGTGAGTAGCGGCATTCAATGCCCCTTTATATGTCCTGCCTTCTCTATTTTCTGTACCAGGCCCACCCCCAACTTTTTTAAAACAGCCTGATTGAGATATAATTTATATACTATCTAGTTCGCACAATTAAGTGTACAATTCGATGGATTTGAGTCTATTTCCAGAATGATGCAACCATCACAATAATCTAATTTTTAAATTTTTTTTTTTTAAGATTTTATTTTTAAGTCATCTCTACAGCCAACATGGGGCTTGAACTCACAACCCCGAAATCAGGATTCCCACGCTCCGCTGACTGAGCCAGCCAGGCACTGCTCAGTAATCTGATTTTAAAACATTTTCATCACACTCAAAGAAAACACCTTATGCCTTAAAGGGGAGCAAACTAAGAAACTGCAGGCATGAGAGAGAAGCTCTGAAGACCAAGTATAAGTTTCCCTTTTATAAGAGACGTTCCTATTATAAGGGAAATCTCCATTTGTAAGGGTGTCTCCTTCCATGTACCAGGAAGAGAAGGATACTGAATTCTCTAGAAACTCTTGCCAATGAAGATGGCATGGACTTAAATCTGCACAGCAACCTCACCCTCATGAGCAATCAAAACTGGGACACCTGAGTGGTTCAGTCAGTTGAGCGTCCAACTCTTGATCTCAGCTCAGGTCTTGATCTCAGGGTGGTGAGTTTGAGCCCCGCCTTGGGCTCCATGCTGGGCATGGAGACTACTTAAAAAAAAAAAAAAAAAGGCAATCAAAACCCGGCAGATTCAGGAAAAGCTCCACTTCTTCCTCCCCCCTCCCCCAATTGCCTAAAAAGAACTCAGGCAGAGGACCTGCTCCAGGAACTGAGCTGTCACCATGGATAACTTTGTTAGGTTGGGAACAGGGAGGCTAGGCAGGGAGGAAGCTAGCAAGCCTGGTCAATCAAAGTCCTCTCTGTCCCATCATTTCCGAGTGGCCCCGAAAACGTTTCCGGGTTTTCATCTTCCTGTGAAGTACATTCCTTCCGCTTGAAGTCCCAGGACCCTACCCGCTCCTCCTTAGTTCAGGATGACCTATGCACCTCATTGCACCTGACTGTCTTTGGAATTTCCATGTCTGTGTGGATTCCCTGCACGTATGCTATTAAATTGGATTTTCTTCTGTTAAAGTTCCTCATGTCAATTTGATTCTTAGTCCAGCTAGAAGGCACTTGATAGTATTTAAAGTGATGGTTTTGGCCATTTAGGGGAGCTACTCTTGTTTTCCTGGGTCTCTCCCATGTATACAGGAGGGATGCATGTTATTCAACCTGTTTTTCTCCTGTTAATCCGTCTTGTGTCAATTTAATTCTTAAACCAGCCAAAGAACCTAGAAGGGCAGAAGAAAAACTTTGCTACCCCTGCAGCCCCTGACTTGGCCACTTGTTGCCTTGTTGTAACCATTGTTTGTCTGGATACTTCTTTATTTGTTTAATTCTTAAGTAATTCTGTAAAGTCTATTTCCTGGTTTGTGTGCAGACTGTGAAGCTTCCATTGTCTCTGCTCAGATTATTCTTTTTCTTTATTTTATTTTAAAGATTTTTTAAAAAAATTATTTATTTGACAGAGAGACACAGCGAGAGAGGGAACTCAGAAGCAGGCTTCCCGCCAAGCAGGCAGCCCAATGGGGGGCTCGATCCCAGGACCCTGGGATCATGACCTGAGCCGAAGGCAGACGCTTAAAGACTGAGCCACCCAGGTGCCCCTCTTTTTCTTTTTAAAATATTTTTTATTTTTCAGGGGTGCCTGGGTGGCTCATTCGGTCAGGCATCTGCCTTCAGCTCGGGTCATGATCCCAGGGTCCTGGGATCCAGCCCCAAATTGTTACTCATGCTCTTTGTCGTTATCTCTGTCTCTCTTTCAAATAAATAAATAAAATCTTTTAAAAAATATATTTTTTATTTTTCAGCCTGGCTTTCTATAGGTCACCCTAGGTCAGCATAAGCCACTTGTTGGACAAAGATTGTGCTTAAGCTCCCTTAGACAGTTAGGTTTTTATTTTTTTAGAATTGAGTGTGTGTGTGTGTGTGTGACTTGGAATCTGCTTTCACAGTTTAGGATCTTACAATTTTGCCCCTATTCATCCAGGCACTAGTAGCTTAAAAGTTCCCCCTTCTAACTATTTTCCTTTTCTTTTTGTTTCTTTTTCTTTTTCTTTTTTTTTTAAGTAGGTTCCATACACATTGTGGGCTTGAACTCATGACCTGAGATCAAGAGTCACATGCTCTACCAACTGAGTCAGCCAGGCACCCCAAAAGTTCCTCTTTCTGAGGGGAAGCAGCCTTAGGCATTTACACAGTGTTCCAGGCCACCAAGAATAAGTGTGATTTTATTTTATTTCATGTACTTATTTTTCCTTTTAAAGTAAGGCAGACTGCCATGTGCAGTCCCTCATTTGGATGTGTCTGGAGTCTTGGAAGCTTGACTACCCTTATGTTCTCCTACAAATGGACCTTGAGAGCTCCTTTAGCCATTCTAGCAGGAGAGGGCAGATATTTGTATGCCCTTGACCAAATAATGGTCCTCCTCTGTCAGGGAAGGTCTTCCTATTACACCGAGTACACAGCTTTGGGAGGGATGCACATGGAGTGGTGAGGGACGATGGGGACACCACCTAGCCAGCCAGATCGGCCAAAACAACCCTGGAGGTGATGGTGTGATGGGTATCATGGCCTGATCACTCTCACAGCCAGTGTGATCTTATTTTTAAGTCTGAATTCTTGGGTCTGAGTAGCTTTCTGGTCAGATGTGTTTGGTCAGATGTGTTTCAGTCCCTTGAGCCCACTAAGGCTCCTGCCCTTTGCTGATGGGTCTTTGTGGTATGGAAAATTCTCTGAACTCTGTTCCACATCCTGCTCTGACTGTTTCAGCATGGGTATGCATGCTTTCTGGACCCCCAGGAATGAGTGGGATCCTGTGAGGACTCATCTTGGCTGTCTCTTTCTCTGGTTCTCTCTGTTAAACTTCTGGGTGGTCTGCTATTTTGCTTGTCTCTACTAGGATCATGGAGCTACCATACCTTTTAATGGTTTGCCCAAAATGTTTATATCTCTGAAGAACCTACAAACCTTCACAGCACCGAGACACTGTCGCCTTTGACTTTGAAGATATAGGGCAAAGGATGTGAAGAAGCCTTTCTCTGGGGCGTGAGCAGTGTAGTCATAAAAGCATATGTTGAGCACCAGCTTCAAGTGACAGGTGTACACCGGTCTTTGATAAGTCTGTGTTTGAACATCTGTGACATGGGGCCTTCTGAAGTGTGGGGTCCAGGCCCAGGGCTCCTCTTGTCTCTGTCTTAATGTAATATTATTCTACACCCCTTCGGCCAAACTTCTCTTCTTTCTCTTCTCTTCTCTTTTCTCTTCTCTTCTCTTCTCTTCTCTTCTCTTCTCTTCTCTTCTCTTCTCTTCTCTCTCTTCTCTCCTCTCCCCTCCCCTCTCCTCTCCTCTCCTCTCCTCTCCTCTTCTCTTCTCTTCTCTTCTCTCCTCTCCTCTCCTCTCCTCTCCTCTCTCTCCTCTCCCCTCCCCTCTTTTTTCTTTCTTTCTTTCTTTCTTTCTTTCTTTCTTTCTTTCTTTCTTTCTTTCTTTCTTTCTTTCTTTCTTTCTTCTCCTCCCTCCCTCCCTTCCTCCCTCCCTCCCTCCCTTCCTTCCTTCCTTCCTTCCTTCCTTATCTAGAATGCCCTGGTACACAAAGCTACAGTATTTTACAATATTTGTCTTTATAACAGGCTCAACTGGCATATTCATTTCTTAGAAGTTTCTCACAGAAACAGAAAGGCAAACATAATGCCAATTGGTTAAAAAAAAATAGAATTTTAATTCATGAGTCTTTGTTGTCTGATGAGGGAGTCGATGATTAAGGGTGCCCTAGGCAAGGGTTCACTATTACTAGACAGCCTCTCTTCCATACAGAATGTCCTATCTCCCGGTGGTCATGGTCAGAGGTGTGCTTGTCTTGGAACACTGAATCTGGATGGGGTGTCCTGTCAAGAGCCCTCTGGGCTACTGTGGTGTTTGTGGAGGCGGCTAGAAAGGCCAGGCGGACCCTGATGGACCTCCTTGACAACATTTCTTCAATCTCCAGATGCAATGACAGTATTCCAATTCTCTTAAGACTAATAACAAAGCAGAATCCTACTTCATTTTCTAAGATCATAGCCTCTCCTTCCTCAGCACATGGGAAAGCGTCTGCCCTTCCCACGTCCTCTCCTCATGGAGAAGTTCGTCCGATGGAAAGGTGAACGTACCGCCACAGCCCAGTGTCAGGGTGAAAGTGCTATTGAAAAGAAATGTGGCACGTGGGGCGCCTGGGTGGCTCAGTCATTAAGCGTCTGCCGTCGGCTCAGGTCAGGATCCCAGGGTCCTGGGATCGAGCCCCGCATCGGGCTCCCTGCTCGGTGGGACCCTGCTTCTCCCTCTCCCACTCCCCCTGCTTGTGTTCCCTCTCTCA